GGTATTCTAAACATGCTGGAATATATTTCCAGAAATTAGATTTTATTAAAAAAACGCACTTCAAAAAATGATTTAAAGTCGAAAAAATAACACATTGACGGGGAAAAAAAACATTGCCAGTAATATATTCATATATGTATTTTATAATATTTAGATATGATTTAATAAACTTAATAACCTTTTACGCCACTTTTGTATTTTGAGAACTCTCTTATAGGGATTTATTGAAAAATAATCATAACAATGTTGATAGAAAATATTGGGATAGTTTTGATTAAAATTTCATAGCGGAGGATTATTTCTATAGCAAGAGTTTCGCTTTTGGAAAAACTCAATATATTTCAAATCAATAAATATCTCGGACCACTCCAAGTAAATTTAATATTTCAAAATTTACATAAGAAATAAACTGACAATTAACAGGTTTCATTAAAACACGTGGCGTATGATATCTTAATATTTTTGGTGGTCTACTTTTTGTTACTTTTATCTTTCGTAACAGGTTTAAATCATTTTTACTAATATTATCCAAGTATAATTAAAATGGCAAAAAGTGGATTGAAGAAATACAAGATCACTACTGACGAAGGAATCTTTTATGTACAAAGTTGATCTAGACTTATAAACCCTTTTCTGGGCCCTATTTGGAATTTCACCGATAGAATCAGCCGATGTCATGCTAAGAAATTATGGCAATGAAAAGAATGCGATTATAGATGGCGTAAAAAGGAGCACTCTTATACTCATAATGTGGGTTATATACTTTTTGCCGTGTTTCACTTAATTGTCTTAATTGTTTTTCTAAACAGCTATGATGTCAACGCGTTCAAAAAAGTAGAGGTATGTTAATCCTATCCTTAGATTTATGTTAGGTTATTATGATAACCAGTAAAATATTTTTGTATAAATTGTCCAACCCGGGCAACAAAAATTTTTTATGAAAGAAAAAAACAAATTTTACCAAATTTTAGGCTTTAAAAAATTACGAATCCGGCATGCTCTTAAAAATATTTTACAACAAACGGACCGAATCGGGTTCGGGCCGCGCTGAGCTCTAATTATGGTAATATATTTTATAAAAAGAACAAGTATGGGAGGCCGGTAGAGAAACGGATTTCGTTAAATCTCTTATAAAATTATGACAAAAAATTTTGCCAATTAGGGCACATTGGACCAAGAGTAAATGGAACCACATATGGGATCATATAAAAAAATTCTAGTTTAACAATAATCCTAGATTACAACTCTAATCTAAATTTTTATGGTATAATAAAATGTATGAAAAAATATTGTATAAAAAGGTTATATTTTAATGATAGAAATGTTTTTTCATACCCTGATCTGAGGTGCCTTTAGTCCTCAATCATCATAAAAGATGTTATAAATACTGTCATAAATGATACATTTTTATAGTAACTGTCAATCATTTGATATGATATATTTTTGTTTATCTATTTTTTTTATATAGTTAACATGTCAGTTATTTTAAAAATTAGAGATTTTTTTTTATTCATTGATTTTTTTTCATGAAACCATTATTGATTTTTTTTATGAAATTACAATTAATTTTTTTTATGAACCATAATTTTTATAAAGTGTCTTATCAATATTTTTACAATAAAGCATTTATTTGTTGATTTAATAGTTGAATAAATTAACTTATAACATTTCCTAGGTCCTTTTATTTCTAGTTGAGCATTTTCTTTTTCTCTGCTTTTCATTTATTTTTGGAATTTCGTTTTCGTTATATTTTTGACAGATGTTGACCGCGACTACCAGGATAGTTTCGATTCCAGGGTTATTCGGTATTTTAAGGTAAAAAAATATTTTATTTTATATTTTGTATCTCTCCTCAGGACACAACACAATCACATTTTTGTTTAAATTTTTTTTTAGAAGTTTAACACGGCCGATTTAAAGTAATATAAATTTTCCATATAATGAGATGGGCTTTATGTTTAATTTTGATATTGAGCCCAGCTTATTTTATAAAATTTCGGAATATCCGAGTCTTACTTACAAAATTTGTATCAAATGTAACAAAATTAAGACTTTACTTGAAACCTAATCTTATTGTTTTACGGTTAACTCAAAATTTACACAACCTTTTTCTATAACTCAATTTATTTTTTTTTTACGAAGAACAAAGTAATAATTTATATATCAAAAAAAAATAAGTAAAATTTTCTTCCCAAAAAAATAATAATAATAATTTTTTTTAATTTTTAAAAATAAATCCAAAAAAAATATATCACGTGTCTTATTATTATAATTATTAACCAATCAACCTTATTTTCATCGGTTGATTGGCATTACGCATAAAAATGTATAAATTTGTATAAAAATACGACAAAATGGTTGATAAATTTGATGTAAATAATGCATTAGTGACAATTTTATTATTGATCACACTATATGGGTTATCTATTATAAGAAAATTTTTGTTTGGAAAATGTACTCTGGTTGCGACCAAGGTATATGGAAATTGGAAAATAGACACTCCGGTGTCGGCTGATTGTGGGAAAAAAATTTCGGTCTTGGAAAGTAATTTAAATGTGGTTTTAAATGAAATCAAGAACGGCAGACCAGAAATGGTAGAATATTTGGAAATTAATAACGATGATCGTTTGGATATTGTGGAGAGATCTGTAGTTATCCTCCAAGAATTGAAAGAACTAAAAGAAGTGATTAAGATTATAGATCAAGGTATAAATAAGTTGGTTATAGCTAATAGTAATAGTAATAAAGGCCAAATATGTGGTCCGACATGGTCAAATGAAAAAAATATCTCCGTTGAAAAAAATGGTTTTTCTGGTTATAAGAAAAACTTAGAAGATTTGAAATGTACCCGCTGTGGGTATAGTGGCCACAAGGTAGAGACCTGTGTGGTCAAAGAACAAAATTTTTGTGAAGGTTTTCCGTTAAAGAACTGACATTCGAAAATTCTAATGTTAGAAAAATTTCTGACACGAATAAATTTGAGGTTCTACGATCGAATTATGGTAAATCCCGTTTGTGCTTTAAATGTAACAAACCGGGACATGTAGCCATAAACTGTATCAAAAATTGACTATATGATTGCAAGTGTAATCATATAGTAAATAAGGGATCGGGAGGAAGAAATAATAATAAAGTAAATAACCATGCTGAAATGAGATCTGATTCTCGTAAAAGCAGTGGTTTTAAGAGAAATTTATTTTATCCTGATGATAAAAATAACAAAGATTCTAATGATTTTAAATGGGAGAAATATCCTAGAGGTATTGTTAAATATTCCGATGAAAGGAATATTAATACTTTCAGATGGGAAAAATATCCCAGTTATATTGCAAGAAAAAATATGAATATTGTTAATGAACCACTAAATTCCGAGTTGAATTTATGTTCAAATGGGAATTCTCATGAAACTGATGTTTCAAATGAGATTAATATTGATCAGTCAATTAAAACATATGAGATTTTAATGACTGAGAGATTAGTCGAACCTTGTCCAAGAGTTACTGTAAGAGTTGACTCGAGGGATATTGACATGTTGTTCGACACAGGGGCTAGCATTTCCATTATGTCTAGAAGATATTATTATAAGTATTGGCCTGGGGGTAAACTTGAGAAAGAATCTATGTGTGTCAGACAATTTGATGGGTCTGAGATAATAGTTTTGGGAAAAACTAAGTTGGGAGTAATTCTCCATGATACCACATTTTTCCTAGATTTATGGGTAGTAAAGAAAGATGTGGAAACCATCATGGGGTGGGATTGGATTGTTCAGTTAGGTCCTTTCAATAATTATTGGAATATTTTTGCCATACATAATGGTTCGGCCCTAAATGAGACTAAAAACAAAAATATCGCTAATAATGCTCGAAAAAATATTCATGAAATAGGGACAGGTTTAACCGCAAAACAAGATAATTCAACCCGTAATTCTGATAGTTATGTAAACTCCACAGAATTAATGGTTGAAAACAATAGTAGCATTGATGAAACCCCAATGGTTGATATTGGTATTCATGCTATTGGTATTCATGAATTACATAAAATGTGTGAAAATATATCTCGTTTAATGAAGAAATATGAAATAATTTTCGAAGACAAATTAGGTTGTCTTAATGATTATCAAGTAGATATAAAATTAAGGGAGGGATTTTCACCTATTTTTCTAGCGTGTCGACGAGTTCCTTTTGAATGGAAAAAGGAAATTGACGAAGAATTGGATCAGTGGGTTAAAGATGGCATTATTGTTCCAGTGGAATATAGTGTATGGGCAACCCCGTTTATACCGGTGTAACGTTTTATATGAACTCCTGATTTAAATAGATTCTAATTTAGTGATATTGGCATTTATGACTGACATGTTAAGATTTAACCTTATTTTTTTTAGTGATATTGACATATTTGATTGAAGTGGGAGTACGTTTAAATCAGATTTATGAAGAATCTATCAAGATCAATTGTAAATATTTCTGGCTTACAAATTTTGCAAAGTAGTAAATAATATATCCTTCTAATATCTTAATTTAATTAATTTTAGATAAAGTATATTAAATGGCATAAAAACCTATTATTCTACCAATACTCAACTTTGCAAAGTAAATGATTGTAAATTTTTCTAATAATAAATTTTAGCAATTTTAATAGAATATTTATTTATTTTGAGTATACCTACTAATTTTTTATTTCAATTAAGCTATTTAAATCTTTGCTAACTTAAAAAATATTGCAAATTTTATCTATAAGATAAATTTCAGTTTGCAAACAAATTAATTGCCTAAATACACTGAAATATTCTTTATTTTCATTGAATACTATAAATTAAATTTTTGGATATGTTTTTGGGCCATTTATTATATATATTATTTTTTTATTCATTTCAACAGTTGTTTTTGATACCAAAATTATCCTTTGTTTACCCAATCAAATGACGAAAGACGATAAATCAAGTAAATAAATTTTGTTTAGTATATTTCTATTCATTTTAATAGAATTCGATGTGATACAGGATTATATCCTTTACCAAAAATATCCATCATCTATGTCTTCCAATAAAGGCTTAAGACGCAATCTGCGAGTTCAGGCCTCGAGATATAAAATTTGTAAGGGTAAAATGCATCACCATTCTCATAATGGTGAAGTTGTTTTGGACCTTGACCGAAGAATTCAACTTCTTCAAATGGTTCACAGTGGATGTGATACTAATGTGTCAGCAATATCTCTTGCTGCCCATTTTGGTATCACCAAGACTTACAGCAAATTGGCTGGTAGGTAAAATATATAAAAATTATAATATTATATGATCAATAATATATTTTTAAATATAATACACAATAATAAATTGTTTCACCATTTTTATAATAGTGAAACAATTTTAGATTGTAACAGAAGAGTTTAACTTCTTTAAAAAGTTATAGTGGAGTGGATGTGATACTAATGAGGCAAAATCTTTAGCTGATTATTTTGGTATCACCAAGACTCACAGCAACTTGACTAGTAGGTAAAATATTTCTGCATAATAAATCTATTTATTATATCGTGTATTATATTTTTAGCTTCTGGTGGCCTAATATGAAATTGAATGTGGTTAATTTTGTAAAATGTTGTGATATTTGCCAGCGTAGCAACACAAGATTTGACAAAACTAACAATGAGTTGCATTCAATTCCTATTCCAACAAAGGTATTAAAGTTGATTACATAACAAATTTTTAATTTGAAAATTTTTATAGTTTGGTCATTATAATTGTTTCTAATTTATGTTTATTATTTTATATTTTTCATTTGTAGCCTTATTAATGATCTGTCTATTATAGCTTATATGTATGTGGCACTTGTTTTTATTAGTCATGTTGGTTTCATATATTGAACCATTTAAATTTTATTGAATTTTTTTACAAGAAATATATCATATATTCATTTTTAGTTTCTTTAAGGTTAATATAACATTCCAAAATAAAAATATAATTTGCATATAATCTACTAATTAAAACTTATAATCTGAAAATATGACAAATAAAATTAATATAGTCCCCTTCAATCTCAGGTAAAAATTGATATATATGTCATAATTTCATTTTTTAGCTAATTTATATTTTACCTCATTCTTTATTATTATTATTTTTTTCAGCTGCAATCATAAATAATGGTAAGCAGCTTTACTTTATTACATGACACCTAACCTCCTAATGGAGTATATAATTTCATTTTTTAGCTAATTTATATTTTACCTCATTCTTTATTATTATTATTTTTTTCAGCTGCAATCATAAATAATGGTAAGCAGCTTTACTTTATTACATGACACCTAACCTCCTAATGGAGTATATAATATAACAACAATCTTTTATTTTACAAAAGGTATGGACACAAATAGGTGTTGATTTAACTGCTTTGCCTGAAAGTGAGGATGGCTATAAATACATTGCTGTAGCAATTGATTATTTCAGCAAATATATTGTAGCCATGCCTTTAAAAGATAAAACAGCGAAATCAATATCGCGACTTCCTTTACTCGTTACTATGCACACATGGTAGGGCAAAAGTATAATAAATTTGGTAATAAAATATTAATATTATATATAGATTCAAATTAATGATCAAGGACGTGAGTTCGTAAATGAAATAAGCAATAATTTTCACAAACTCATAGGGACCATGCAGAGGGTGACAAGTGCTTATCACCCTCAAGCAAATGGCATGGTTGAAAGAGTGAATAGGACAATCCAAAATGCACTACTAAAGTGTATTAAGGATGATCAATTAATTTGGACAGATCTTGCCTGGCATAATATTTCCCTATAACAATTCTCTACACGAATCTTCGAAGTTTACGCCATATCAGCTGATGTATGGTAGAAAAGCAAAACAAGCTTATGAGGTATGATAAATCTCATTTTATAATCATATACTATATATTATGTCTCTATTTAAGATTGACGAGGAAGAGGATATTGATCCTGAGATTGACGAGGAAGAGGATATTGATCCTGACAATGTACCTGAAGCAGATTTGGAATCTTGTTTTCAAGATACAGTTTCCAGGATGAATGATATTCATGAGATAGCTGCTGGCAATATAGATCTTGCTCAGCTTAAACAGCAGAGGGATTATAGAAGTCGTAATGCTGGTAGAAATAACCATTATTTAGTCAATGATCAAGTGCTTATTTGGAACAGCCGTCGGGCTTATAGGAAAGGTGGTAAAATGACCAGACCTTGGATGGGTCCTTATACAATAGTTAGGATTCTTAAAAGTGAAATTTATCATTATTATTAAATTATTTTTAATATTTAGGCAATGTTGAGCTCATGAATGCTAGCGGTAGAATTTTAAAGAGCAAAGCAAATATATGTAATATAAAACATTACTTTGCAAGAAAAGGTATATAATTGTCTTAATTACTTAGTAATATACATATTTTTTAGATGATAAAAACTGTGAGGTAGTGAGTTATAATGAGGAGTTAAATGCTTAAGAAAATCACTTGAACGGTATTATTTATAAAACTCACATTAATTTTTTTAAATATTTAGTCTCAAAATTACTCAACACGATTATTGGGGAAGACAGTGACCCCTACACTTTTTGAGGGATAGAAGCAGAATACCCCCCTAAAGTACCCCCCCCCCCCATTGTAAATTGTTTTTTGACACCAATAAATTTCAAAAATAATTTTCAATATTTATTATAATATAAATATAATGTAAAAAATATATGCTTTAAAAATATTATTTTTAAATTAATAATTTAGATAAATTAGGGGAAGAGAAAGCAAAAGAATTTATAATTTCATCAATATTTAATTGTTTAAATAAATTATTTTCCATTGATAAAATGGTTAAATTATTAAGAAATGGATCTTTCATGACACTACGAAGTCTTGTTTTAATTAGTTTAATTTTACTCATGACCCTTTCGGCAGTACATGATGTAGTAGGAATAGTTAATAAATATTTATATAAAATTGTTAAATTTGGGAAAGCAGAAAAATTTATAAGCAGACTATAAGGTAAAATAAATGAATAGTTTCTCCAGTCTGAATCATTCATCTCAGAATTATTATCATCATCAGAAGAAGCTAAATAATGTATTAGTAAAAATATTTTAATTAAATAAATTTACAATTCTCAGAATCTGACAAATCTTCTTTAACCTCTAGGTCACGAGTAATAATTACGTCCCCCGTTTTAGCCATTTTATAAATATTTCTAAACATCAACATTTTCTCAAAAACTTGACTTGTATTTAATTTATAAAATTCACATATATCCTTGATATCATCTTTAACAATTGCCTTTTCCGCCATTCCCTTTGGGGTAAAAAATGATGTTTGACTCAAAAATTTTATCGATTCATCGTTAAATCTTTCACTAAACTGCATAATAATTAAATCAAGTGCAGCATAAAACACACTGATTTTAAAGCTAAAATAAAATATTATATTTAATGATGAAAGTATATATATATACACCTCTCTTTTTTAGATTGTAATGTTTGAAGTCTTGAACTTTCAAAATCAAAAGGTAAATTTCTCTTCTTCATAAAATCTTGGGCCTTTGAAAAGACATCCAAAAATTCAGTGTTATTATATATTTTAGGATTATAAAATAATAAAAGATAAAAATTTAAATTATACTTCTCATATTAATCAGGCAATCTTTTGCCAATTGAATTTGATTTATTGCACCCTATATCCTTCGAAATGGTTTGCAATTTTGTACAAGCCAAGCTTGTTATCAACAATATTTTATCCAAAACACATAGTGATAAAATAAAATCAAATTTTTCTATTCTATAGACTATAGCACTAGCCATAGTGGAAGTGGCAGGATCTTCAGAATCTTTTAAATTTGCCAAAGCTGCCCTCAAAGCATCATAAAGTTGGAAAAAATTTACAATCACCTTATATGATGTTAGCCAGCTTCTATAAATATAAAATAAACATTATATATCGAAACAATTAAGATAATATTACCGAGTGGTATTCTTGATGCGTAAAAATCTATGTGATTTTGTCAGCAAATCACTCTGACATGTTTTGAGCACTTCATATCTTTTAACACACCATTAAAATATACGTAAATTTCGTCTAATATTCCTAAGACATTTCGCAGCTCTTTTACTGATTGGCATAATTGAACAACTATTAAATTTAAACGATGACAATAGCACCAAATAAAAGCTGTCTTTGGCGCCTCCGCTCTAATCAAAGCCTGCACTCCATTAATTCTTCCACTCATGTTTGAGGCGCCATCATAGCTTTGCCCCACTAGGAATTCGAGGGGTAGATTCATGGAGCCAAGCTTGGATATTATATTCTTTTTAATATCGAGGCCCGTTGTATTTCCCGTACAATAAATGTCTATCAGCCTTTCAACGGGCTTAGGTGTCTCGCTATTTTCAACATATCTCACTATCAAAGCTATTGCTTCTGATTTCGATACATCATATGGGCCATCAACTATAATTGAATAGCACCTGTTGAATACAATCTCCTTTTGAATTTTTTTTATAACCATATTTTTCATGGTTTCAATAAGAATATTTATGTTATTATATGATAACAGATTTAAATATAATTTAGATTTTAATCCCTTAATTTTTTTCTCACTTCTTCTTCATTATCTTTTATATACATTTTAAGAACAGGCTCAGAATCTGCAATAAGTTTAATAAGGCTCATCATATTGCCATCTTGTTGCCTGTTCCCCCAGAAGGCTTGATTGCGAGATAAGCATTTATATTTTTTTTGGTTATTTTTGGGCATATTTTGACAATGATCTAAAAATTATAAATGATTATATATAAGATTTAATATTTAAATTTTTACTATTCACTTTGATAAAATTTTAATTTTGCGTCAAATCTTGAAAGTGGAAAAATAATTTTATGATAAAAAATATCTTATAACAAACTAATTTGCTAAACATCGACCATAAATATTTTTTAAAAAAAAAATAAAAAAATTTTTTTAAAAAATTTTAAAATAAAAAATTTAAAAAAAAAAAGTACCCCCATAGAAATTTAAAGAAGCAGTTGCTTCGGACCCCCCCCCCCGTTGTAGGGGTCACTGGGGGAAGAGAATAAGAATTGTGAAGACCAAAAATATAAAATATTTATTATTATATGTATTTTTTAGATGATGCAGATTTTAAGAGGATAAAGATATTAAATGATGAAACGAAGATGGTAGAGCTTGGTAGCCATCGAGAAAATAGTAATATTTTTATAAATCGATATAATTTGTTTTTTAAATTATTAGTTATGCCTTATAATCCTAATATTTCAGCTGTAATTGACAAAGTAGGACTGTTAATTGAGAAAGGTATTAATATGTGTTATTATTTAATTATGCATATTTTTTAGATAATGAATTGACAGTAGAGACTGTAATTTCTAAGAAAAATGATGCAAATCTATTTCTTCCCACCAACAGAATATGAAAAATTTATCATTCTGAACGTTTTCATTTTGCGATCAAGAAAAGATATCCAAAATATGATAATGGTGTAATGGGAGATAATTTTTCTACCGAGCGGATTATTGGTGATGGAAATTGTCTCTTCAGGTATACATATTTAAAATAAATTATTGTTAATCATTATTGT